GTTTATTGTTGATGAGATACAAGATTACGACAGAATATAACACAATTTCTCATTTTTACTTACAGTCAAATCAGTGTACATGAGTCATTAACCGACAAGGGTATTCAAAGAAATTGGTTCTTATATGAAAAAATAAATGACAGGATTTTTTCTATTTAACCTTTTTACTACCAAACTTCCTTGTCCAAATTTTTCTGCACTTTTTTCTTAAAATTTTTCAATATTTCTGAAAATGAACCCTAATATTGGAGCAGGTAAGATTTGAGTCAATTTTCAGTTTTTACTAAACAGATGTGGATATTTTTGTCCCAATCTTCTGAAAGAAAGTGAAGGATATAAACGGGACTATTTTGTGAATTTGTGATGAAAAGAGAGAACAGGGGGTGAAAAGGTTAAGGGGAAATTTGTCAGCCAATCAAATTATAAATAGAAAAAAATATAAATCTGTTTGTCACAATTGCATTGAAAATCTCAGTGTTGAGACAAGTGAAAAACACTGATATGTAATTGTCTTCCAATATTTTCGGCTCTGGACATGTTCGTTTGATCAAAATGGTACCAAGAGTGAAGTTACAATTCATATTTGACAGGTTTTATATTTGACAGAACTTTCATACACAGGTCACCTAATACTCTATGGATAGATGGTGTTTATTACATTTGATTGTTGTACAAGAGTATTATTTTATAACTGATCGACTCATCTGATTTCAGTTAACATTTGAGCAAGACTTGAAGATAACTGAGATGTTCTCCGGGGAAGGTGAGAAAGTGGCGTTCAGTGAGACACTGTACCCTACAGGCAATGTAGAAGATTGGATGGGAGAGATCGAGAGAGTCATGAAAGAGAGTCTCAGAAGTATACTTGGTAATGCTGTCAAGAAATACACAGAGGTAAGCACAACATTATATAATACCGGTAGATCTTGGCAGACACCCAACAATCACTGCATTATCACAGATCACGTTCCTGGATGTTGAATATACAGCATTTTGCATGCGCACGCATATTATTTGGAGGGGTAACATAAACTTGAACACACAAGGATTCTTTGTTTGTTAACTACCGGTAGTTGTAGTTATGACGCAACAGAAAATAATACAGTGATCTTCAGAAACACCTTGCTATAGTTATAGAAATTTGGTAAAATTACAAACAAAATATTTAATAAAGTGATTTTTATGTAAAAACAAAAGAAATCATGTTTCACAACAGTTTAATTTGTGCCTAAAGTTAACTACAGCAACATATAATCTAGATTTCTTCTTGAAGAAAACTCACCCTAATACTGTGGAATACTTTACTTTCGCTGGAATTTATTTTCGCTGAAAAGACTTTTTGGGCGTTTTGCTTGGAATTTATTTTCACTGATTTTTGATGAGATTAATGTAAAATATAGGAAAAAATGTATATTCACCGGATTTTATTTTCACGGAATCATCCCTTCAGCGAAAATAGCGAAAATAAATTCCAAGCGAAAATAAAGTATTCTACAGTAGTCAACAAACTGACTCTACTTGATTTTAGGGACTCATCAGTTCTATTAGAGGATGTATTGTGTAACATTTGATGATCTGATTTAGAGTTTCCAATACACTATTAAACCACAGTGCCTAATATATACCCAGTACTAAGGCAGTCGTAAAAAAAAAATTGAATGCACGATACACAGTGATTTTTGCCACTTTTATATTGGGTGGTTTTATTTTGGCATTTTGTATAAATGTTTTTACATTTAATTTCAGATGCCACGTACTGAATGGGTCTTACTGTGGCCAGGTCAGGTGGTCATTGCTGTATGTCAGGTCTTCTGGACTAAGATGGTAGAAGATGCATTGAAGGCTGATCAGTTGGCAGAGTTGTATGAAACACTCAAAGACCAGGTACACTGATTTATATTTTATAATTAATATTAACAATGTCCAATGTTTACTGCATGTTAGATGTATCGGTTGTTTTCCGCAGTTGTTCTAATCAATTTGTTTTTTCCATAGTTGCATGATCTGGTTGCATTGGTACGTGGTAATCTCAGTAAGTTACACCGTATGATAATGTCGGCGTTGATCGTTGTTGAGGTCCACGCACGTGATGTGGTTGCCAATATGGTGAAAGAGAATGTGAAAAACATCACGACTTTGAATGGATTAGTCAGTTGAGGTACGTAGAGCATGTGCTACCTCAGGTTTTTAAATTTAACAGACCTTCTGTCAAAAAACAACTCATCAATAATTATTTTGAAAATGCGAAATGATGTGCATAGATCTTTGTAAAAAATCTTTGTCTATGATTAAGGATATTTATTGAAATGCTGTTAATCTGCCTGGTGTTTTGAAAATGGCCTGAGACCTAA